TAGATGTAAGATAACGCATACAATCTTGCGTAGATAAAGAGTCCAAACACACGGGACTTCGCAAAGGTGGTCTTGACAGCCACGAAGTAATTGTGCCTGCGTTAATAGTCTGAAGCTCTCGGAATGAGCTAGTGAAAAGTGTCTGCCGTCGATCGTCGTCTGTGTCAGTATGCAGCCACTCCACAAAGCGAGCTATTGCACGTAAATACGTGTACTTGGTCTTCTCCGCTGTCGTATTCTCCAGTACTTCTTCAACGCGTGCATCGAGCTCGTCCATCGTTGCCCTTAGCTCAGTGACCTTTCAAGATCACATACATATTTTTCAGCCAATCACAATCGTCAAATAATCTTAGTGCAATTTGCACGGCGAATTCCATCCATCTATACATGTAATTAGCTGAAGCGCGGCCGCCTGTTGCCCTTGAAAGAGGAACATAAGCCTCTAACTCCGTTCACGGAAAACCCAAGTTTTATGCAGCCGTTGTGGATCCCTTGTTGCTGTACCAGTAAGCTCCAGTGAACTAGCGATGCCGCAACCAAATTAGGCTTGTTTTGTCTTTTTTCTTTAATTTTATCCAATCATAATGTACAGATACCACACGAGCCATTCGTTAATCAAATGTCGGAGAGCGAACCTGGTCGTAAGCGACAACGCGTCTCAGAGCATGAGACTCCGATGATAATGGACGTCCACTCACCAGCGAAGTGGGATTTTTGTCACCATGGTGCGAAGAGCTCAACGGCCAATTGACGGCGATCCACAACGTCATTCGTGTGTTGGGACCGCGAAAAAAGCTCGAGAAACCATTTCGTTTCAACTTGGAAGACGACGACAAAGACGAAAAAGAGGACCCCGTGGAGATAGAGAAATGTCTGTGGAAAACGAGAGAAGCGATGGAATTGCTGTCACTAGTAGCAAAAGTGGATCCAAAAGCTTTCCACATGCTAATGACAGAACAGTGTGGACTGACACTCGACGACGAAGAGAGTGAAGAAGAGGAGGAAGAGTTCCGAGTGATGTTACCTGGCGACGACGACAGAGATATTATCTTCAGTGATTATGACGAGAGCGAAGAGGAAGAAGAAGAAGAAGAAGAAAATGAGGAGGACCGACCAATCGAGATTGTAGTTGATGCAGAGGGCCAAGAAAACCCAGACCAGGGAGACGACGAAGTTGATGAGGGTGTTGATGATGTGCTTGTACTCCCTCCTGACACATTGAAGAGTGAACGGCGTCAAGAGCGGGAAAAATACCTCTCACCTCGCTTCGACTTCATCTCGTTGACGGGAGTTCCTGGCCTTCTGGATCCTAATGAGTCTCCCACACAGGAGTGGGAAAAACTCTTTTTGGCTGACTATCCGCAATACCAACCTGGTGAGGAGTACGAAAAGGCGAAAGCGTGCATCTTGAAAATGCAATCGGACGAGCGACAGATCCCCTCGTCGCTAGAGATTCCTGTGTCGCTCGAGCTTAGTAACTGGTCAAAAACTGCCGACCTACTTGCTGGATATCTAAAGGATCTTGGCGTATTAATGCAGGCGATGGAGAACCGCGCGAAGCCACTTGGCTCCGCTTTAAAAGGGGTGAAGACTGACAGGGCAAGCACGTTTATCTACCGCTTGATTGAACTATCGATGACAATTAGCCACAGAGACAAGATGAACCATCGCTTGGCTGAGCGCTTGTGTGAAGTTCTGGGCAGTGGAATTCCTATCGGCGAGCTTCACATACGTTTGGGCGATCGATCCGCAACTGATGACCAAGCTGCTTGCCATGACGCCCTCGCAAAGCTGTTCACTGGTATGTTGATGCAGCCACTCACACCGAATCAGAAGGGTCTTCCTTCGTTCTCCGAGCTTCAAATTGACTGTGAAGACTCAGTATTGTGGCATTTCGAGGCTTTGTGCTCGGCTTTATCCGTATCACAAGTCTGTATCCGGAAACTTCGTCTGCCTGGTGTATGCAGCTACCGCACAAAAGATGAATTACGTCAGAGATATTGGCGGTTAATAGCTCAGACATTCTTCCACCCAAACTCGACTTCAACTGGTATCTTTTCTTCGGTTCGGGCTTTGGATCTATCGGATGTGAAATTGACTCTGGACGAGCTCGCAGAGATTTCTGCAGTTCTTCAGGAGAAAGAGCACATTGCGCAGGTCGCTCAGCAATGGGATCTTTGTCAAAAGAACTGGATGTTACATAAAAGCACGCCACTGCAGTTTTTGGAGAAGGAAGGCGACTCAATTATCGCTGTTGACGGTAGCTGTATTACTCTGCCCTATGACTCGCGTGTTGAGCTGGTGCAGAATGATTCTGACGAGAAGTCCAACGATGAAAGCGATTGGATAGACGTCATCATTCCAGCGTATGGCCGGTGTCGAGTACGTCGCGAAAATTTTGTTTCCGAGACGATCAAAGAAGCTGTTGTAGTAGGTGAGCCTTTGTCGGCGCTATCGCTTGCGTTTAAAACTAATGCAGAGGGAGTAGAGGGTCTCCTTAAGCAGATCGGGTGGTCTCTTCGTGAACTGTCCTTGTCATTTCACCGCGAGATCGACGTGAACGCAATGGTGCCTGGCATCCTGGAGGCCTGTCCGAACTTGAGAAAACTAGCACTGGATGAATGTTACATCGACTTGGATCAATTTTCCACCTTGTATGAATGTGCTGGACCAATACTTTCGACGTTGCAATTCCAGGACTACTACGGTATTGGAGAGGGCGATGGCAAACTGTTCATGAAGCGACTCGGAGATCCGACAACTCGACTGGCAAAACATTTGCGAGAGCTCACTATTCATGCTGAAGAGTACGCTGAGCCACTAGACCACCCGACTCTGAGTGCGCTGTGTATAGCTCTAGAACACAACACAACACTCGAGAAGCTGCAGGTGATGGTGTCTCGGACTGTATGGAGTGCCATTTGGAAGCGGCGTCTACGTCGCTCTAATGGGCAAGTCCTACCTCCACGTCCACTCCCCTTATCTTCCAAGCTGGCATTCCTCAGTGTTGCACACCACGGAGAGAGCAATACTGCTGAAACAGTACCCGCTGTCAAACGTTTGGATCGACGTGTACTGTCACTCATTTTCGAGTTTGCTGCGACTCGTGTAATTCGGTCAGTTCAAGTCTACGGGTAATCAACTTCCAACAACGTTTTTTAATGAATGTACCACATCGAAGGTGTCATTGCAATCGAATCAGTTGACAAGAATAAACAAGAAACAAGAGAACAGCTTGAATGGTGCAAAAAGAGCGGGTCTTTTCCTGAACATCTTCAAGTACCAACCCACAATTTTGGATTCGTTTGACGGCACTTTATCCTCAAATCTAATCTGAATACGTGACTCATGTCGTACATGTAGCTAAATATTCGTGACTCATCCGTGACTCGGCGCACTTGAAAATTCGCCGTCCAATCAATAATGTAATACCGATAGCGTCCAGCTTGTTCGCAATCAAAGCTGCATGAATAGTCACGTGGTTGAAGCACCTTATCAAACAATGAACGTAGTGAGCATTATACAATTTTGTATCCAGAGATCAAGCTCAAGTCCTACGACTTTCGAAGTCCTACAAACTATGTGGGTCTATCACTTACTACTAGTGCTTTTGGTCGTGGCCTGTTCAAGCTTCGCGAACATATCGGCGGCTCAAGATCTCAATCCTAGTGTTTACTCGCCAAACTCAGCATTGAGCAACGCCGGTGGAAGTAATCGGGTTTTAAGAACCCGCGCAAAGGACAGCGAAGAAGGCGAGGAAAGAGTATCGCCATTAGCAGCACTTGAGGGTTGGAACTCGAAAATGCTGGCAATGAGTTTCGAGGAAGCAAACGCACTATTTAACACGGGAAAGATTCACCTTCCTCAAGGTGTGACGGCTGAGCAAGCACGCGATTGGTTGTGGTCCAAGAACATCGACCTCTTCATTGGCCTTGAGAATAAAGGCAAAACACTCAAGAGCATGCGCGAGGAGCTGAAGATTGACGAAAAAATACGGACCATGTCACCTAAAGCCTTAAAAGCAGATCCTAACTACATGCTGTACACGGCCTTCGAAACCTACTGGAGATTTACCCGTAAGAACCAAGCGTCCGTGTTTAAATTCCAATGAAGTGTGCTTCAAGGTTACATGTCCACTCATACAACCATTGACGCTGTGATCTCGTTGGCCTTGCTAGAAATAGGAGCTTTTTTCACAAGAGCCGCAAGTGAGCTGCCCTCTACCTCAGCCAGGCGCAGTTGGCGCGAGTTGAGTCGTACAAACGTCAACTTATCACTCATTAATAGGTCCTTCTTATGTCGAAGAACGCTTGATGCTGCGCCTGCCTCCTTAACTGCACGTGCTGAACTTGGTGCACACACTGGCATGACAAAGATACGGCACGCGATAGCTTGCAACACAGGCCACTTGGAGCCATCAGCGAACCAGAACTGCAACGTGGACTTTTTTCGCTCTTTCAGCGCTCGGAAAGCGAGGGTATCGGCCTTGTTGGTCTTCTGGTTCAGTGCGTGCTTCTTGAAATCCACGTACTGAGTATACAGCGCTTCTTTGTCAGAAACGGAGAGTTGCGTGCCATCGCCACGAAGCGAAGCCATCAGCTTCTTCTCAGTATCAGTTTTAATGTCTGCTGGCAAGTCTTCGCCCAGTAAGACGGGGTCCAAGAGGTAGGCCAACAAGTGGGCTGAACCCATTACATGATCCTGTTGTCGTCGAACTAGCGCTTGCAACGCTGCCTTCTCTTCCGGCTGCAACGACGCCATTGCTCCAAACTGCTGCACGAGTCTCGAGAAGGAGGAATAAACCTCTGAAAGAAGCAAAGGTGTCGTATCATTTAGGGACGAAAGAAGGGACTGAATAGGACGCATCAGCTCCAAATACTTGCCCAGCTTCTCAACGAACTGAGGACTGCGGACGATTTTCACCAGTTGAGTCTGGAAATGGGCAACACTGGGATGGTGAGCGCGATTTGACCCATTTCCAAGTCTGTTCAACACATTGTCAACATCCAGAAAGGGTTCGGCTTGGAGAATGGCCACAAACGCTTCTTCTACCGTCAAGCGACGCCTGGCTGTCACGTGCACCATATTGCTGCTTGTAGCTCCGCTCAGATACGACGGCTGCTCGTGGTGTGGTAGGAAGAACGCGAGGTCTTTGCATTGCAACGCGAACTGCTGTAAATCCTGCGCGAATGGCACCGTCACAGGGCGTTTTCTATCATTGTGTGTGTCTTTGTTGCCAGCAAAAAGCTGTCGAACAAAAGACAACAAGGCGTCTCGCATGCATCCGTGGAAATACATGGCAGGGAACTGTTTCTCCAACAACTCACGTGTCTGTCTACTCTCCACTGTCGAGCAGGGCATCACACATCCCGCCACTGGACTCGATATTTTCTCCACTAATCTCGTCATATCACGTGCTGCCACCTCCGCGTTGGCGTCTGCATCTCCACCACTTGGAACTTTCACTGACTCCAGATACATCGGGTACTTCTCCGAACTCGCTAGTGTAGCCATGTAGTTCGCCACCTCGTCATCTTCAGTATCCATCGACAACGTCACCGGCACTAATCCGCTTTTGAAAAACCCTAGCAACCGCGTCCTGACGTTGTCATAGCAACGGTCCAGTAGCTCCGTCATTAATTTTTCCTTGGTGGGTAACGTAATATTCGCGTTGTAAGCTTGAAAAGTTTGCAACAAGAACGGCAACTCGATTTTCTCGTCCAGCAAAAATTCCATTTGCAGCGTTGTAAACATGTGCATTGCCATATTTTCTTCCATTTTTTGCCAATCCATGTTTACGCCATTTCTCACTGTCATATTTTCATTTCCAGTTTGCATTGGCATCATTGTTGCCATTGCCACAGGTGATAGGATGGGTTGAATCACTTTGAACGGGGTTGCCGGTGCTGGTGCTGGTGTCTGAGTCGGTATCTGATTCTGCTGGAACACGGCTGGGATATTAGCGCTCCTTATCGGCGCAGCAATTTGCTGGCGTCGGTTGATCTCGGCCAGGTACCACTCGGGCACGTCATTGGGTGGCAATGTGTCGATCATCCGCAAGAACTGGGGACATTTTATCAAATGGGCACGTGCTTGAGCCCATTTCTTGTGATAATGCACGACCTGGTTACAGTGGCGACACGCAGTCGACGGCTGCTTTTGAGGCTCTGTGATGGTCGTGAAGAAGGCCCAGGCGCGCGACGGAGGCCGCCCACGCGGGCGCTTAGGCGCATCCATGGGCACCGAAGCGAAGCCGTTGGCGTCCATACGATATCTGGATTGGTTGATACTGATTGGCTCTTTCTGTGGAAAAATATGGTGTGGTGCACGTTAGAGTAATCAACAAAATGAGATGCATTTTGGGAATAGTTGTCGGAAAAGTCGGGGGCCATTTTGTCGCTCGGTATGCAAACATGCCTTTGTGCTAGCTCATATCGAATGTTTTCTCTTCAAGATGAATAGTATTATGAAGAGAAGACAGCTGTGATGGTTACGAGTAATTGCTAAATATTGTGGATGTATCATCATTACCATGGCATTTCATACTACTACTGTATTTGTAGACGATAGACGAGATGCCTACCTCGACTGGCATTGAACTCATCGTCGTCTTAGCCCAGAACAGAAAGCGTCTCCAAGACGAATCCTAGTCTGGATGCTGCTATCCTCGCTACAGTGGTTCGCAATTGTCAAACGGAGCCCAAGACTATCCAGAACTTGTCTTTCTTCCAGTTACAAGAACTGACTAGAAAATCTGCAACCTTGTGTTCTAACTGCGTTGCAATGCAACATACAGTTCACCCTTAGGATGCTCTCCAGCCTAAAACCAAAGTGTAGAAGGAAAAACAAACTGTAGAAAGTCACAAGTGTGCCGGGCTCACAAGAACGATAGAAACGCTTGTAACTGTGATCCCTTGCCTGCAAGAGAGGGACGAGGGTTGCCGCCTCAGTTGCCAAGTTCGCGTGTAGAATCCACTGCTCTTTTTGCAAGTAGGAGGCCATGGTGAATAAGTTCAAGCGGTTTTTCAAGGCACTTGGTGGCAAGCATTCGAGTTCGTCTTCTAGCTCGTCGAATCAATCTACTGGATCATTGGCAGCAGTTAACACTCAGCAATTCGTTAGCGGTCCCTACGGATCCTCTTCCTCAGTAGCTTTCCATGCGTCGACGTCCAGGAACTTAAGCACAGCAGAGTTAGAAGCGCGCCTCGAAACGTCCGGGTCTCTCACGGGTACAACGCCTTCCAATCCACCCTTGGTCGTGATCGATGACTATATGAAAGACGGCAACATCGACTGGACTGCGCTCCTCGCTAAGATCCCCAAACTCGTTGCTGAATGCACCACTTGTTCCGGACCAGCGACTACCAGTCCACCGACGAAGCGGAATGGCAATAACGGAGTAGCAACTTTTGCTGATCTCCTTGCGCTGCTACAACAAATGGCCGGTCGAGAGAATCAACAGCGCGTGAAGCAGTTTTACGCGGGGAATGATCCAGTCTACATTGGAAACGGTGAGTAACTCGCCTTCTCTCTTTATTTTTTCAAAAAAATGCTAACAAAAAGTATTATCTGCAGCCTCACCAAGCTGGAATCAACGTCGAAAGCTGTTCCGACAGTGTCGCCGTGGACTTTTAATCTGTTGGAAGTTTCTAGTTGCCCAACTAAACGACGAAAAATCCTCGCTACCAACGGAGACACGCAACTTGTACTTTCAACTTATCGGGATCATCATGGAACGCGTGGAATTTCACCTACCGGTCAGCAATTCCGAGACCGAAGTGTCTGCCAACAGTAGAACCAAGACTCCCAAGAATTCCGGTAACGTGAGTGGTGCTGGCATGGGCTGGCTCGCCTATTCACCCACTGCGACATTGAACGGGATGGATTTCAACGACGATATCGCTACCTCTGGACCGAATTTGATGGTTAACACTGAGAATGTCACCCCCAATGGTGCAAATAACCGTGGAAATATGGACGACGCCACCGACGGTGAACGAGACTTGTACTTGTACAGGTGTCTGCTGATCGCCACATTCAAGTACGCGATCGAGAACCTCGAGTCTGCGCGGCAGAAGCACCGTCCGTACATTTCTCTAGTGGAAACACGGTTCTTTGCTCGAGTGTTTGCGGTGTGCTTCTTCCGCGTGCCAGTGCTGCAGAACGCGATGCTTGAGCAGATATTCGGTGCTTATCGTGAGAAGGAGTGGATCCATCTACAAGCTCACGATTCTCGTGTGGAAGATCTGACTGAGGAGGGGTCCAGTGCTCCACCAACTGAAGCTCGACAGCCGCGACGTGCTTCAGCTTCTCGACCGTGGAATGGGAACACCTTTGCCGGTTCTCTAGTACGCTGGACAGACTACGATGGCTACATCTTGAGTGAAGAAGGCAATGGGAACGGCACCAGCACGGCCAAAGTAACCAGTCGCTACAACAGCAAACAGTCGGCTCTACGTAGCGATGAAGAAGCCTTTGTACGTCAAAACCCGACGCTGTTCAAATGGACCCGCTTCTCGCCGTACTTGGGGCCATATCCGGACGCTGACATTTTCCGTATGACCGATAAAACACGCAATTGCTGGCTGCACAAACTAAGCCACGACGGCGAGTTCTTTTCCAAGTTCATGGGGTTTGTCTGTCTCCACGCAGCCAACACAGCGCTGGGGAGTGACGTCGTGTGGACGTGTTTACCGGGTTACACTTTGTTGATACGAGTGTCACTACTGTTGCTGAAAGAGGCTTGTTGGGCCAAGTGGCTGTACGTCCGTGACACGTCTGGTCCATTGCCGTCCTCGTCCATGGAAATCGAGCCAGGAAGTCAAGACGAAGACCGTCTGCCATTCGAACTTGAGTCCATTCGAGCGATTCGAACTGTACTGGACAACGTCGTGCAGCTACTGAGGAACAACCAGCTATTGGAGAGTTGTGTGTTGGCCATGTACGAGTGCACTAACGTCCTTCACGCCCGCAGCGTCGAAGTGTGTTTAACGCGTTTTGAAGAATGGTTCAGCGCCACCGCGATGCTCACGGAGATTGGTGGTACCGACAAACGTCGAGGCAGCGGGATGATGGTGTATCGCTTGCCTCCAGGCTTCAGAGGTCAGACTTTCGCGACGGGTATGCGCTTCATGTTGTCCAGTGAGAACTGCGAGATCCTCAGCAGCACGTTGCTGTTCCTGTACCATCGAATGGACTACTTTGAAGGCGACTTACGCCAGAGCGTCCTCAAGGCGCTGGTGCAGCGCCACATGACCTTCTTCTTGCACTGGAACGCCGAAGTCCGCACGAAATACCATCACCTACTGGTCTATCGCGTCGTGCGAGCCAACCGGTTTGTCCTGGACTCGCCTATTGATCACCTGCTCATCGGACGCTGCGCTATCTCGTCTCTCGAGCTCAGTCGAGCGCACGACAATGAATACGACGAAGAAGAGGGATACAGTCGCCACAATAGCAAGGAGAACCGCTTCAACGATGCAGTGCAGCACCCGTGCAACCCGACCATGACGGCTGCAGACATCACTGTTCTTCGTACGGAGCAAGCGCTATGGCGCGCGTTTGACGCCTGTCTGGCCGTCATCATCGCGCAGGAGCGACGATACGCTCGTGAGGGCAACCGCAAGTTCCAGAATGAGCAACTGGCTGCTCGGAGTCGCGCTCTGGCGTTCCGAACATTAAAACGCCACACTACTGAAGACTCGAACGCAGCAGCGACGACCAGTGTGAACGAGGGGCTGCCAGGAGGCAAACCATGTCATGAAGTGGAGCTGCTGGACGAAGAACTGCGTCGAGAACCTCCGTACTACTTGCGCTACTTACCTGGAGACGAGCTGGCCATGCTGGATGAACTGCGTCGTCTCGCCAGCTCCGTGAGGTATCCGCATTACTACCAAGTGTACGCGGCACACTCGCTTCGCTGCTATTCAGATCTGCTCAAGCAATACTACCGCGAACTCGACAGTAATGGCAGTGTGGAACCCCCTCCGCTGGGCTTCTTCTGAGTCTAAAATGTGTGGTCGTTGGTCGATAACTTTGATTAATTCATTCATCTGTTGGCGTTCATTCCGCTACCAAATCATCGCTTTTGCTCAGATCAGAGGATTGTAGAAGTCGCCAGCGTTTCGAGTAGTCCACGTCGTCCCTGGAGTGTCTGCTGGACTCCCGCAGACCTTCGATCTCCAGGGATTGCGCGTACGGTAGTCGACCAGACGGTTGCAAAGTCTGAAGCGCTGATACAGGTGAAACATCCAACGACGATCCTGTACTTGCCGTCGAAGCGAACGAGAAGTCCAGCACTGAAGCGTCAAACCGAGGTGACGCTCTGCTTTGCGAGTTACTGTGCTGCTGCAGTCGACGTTCCAAGCTCGCAACCTGCTTTTTCAGGTCTTCAGTCTTGGTTTTCCAGTCGACAGCATCCTGTTCACTCTGCTCTAAACTCAAGCGAAGTTCCGTCGCCTCTGCCTCTACACTCTGAACTTGTGCACTCTTTTCTTGAACGAGACGCTCATTAACTTGGAGAAGTTTTTGCAATGAAGAGTACGCGGCTTCAGACTTTTTGGCCTGTAGTTTCCGTTCGTGTGCTACGCGATTGGCTTCCTGCTGTACTGCCTCCATCTTCTCTCCGAGGTGCGTCTCGCATCGTCGTAATTCAGCCGCGTGTTTCTCCTCCATAGTGTGGAGTTCTGCCATAAGTCGTACGTTCTCCAGCGAAAGATGTTGTTCACGTTCTTCGCATGCGGCGAGTTTCTTGGTGAGAGCAGCGGTCTTCTCTTCCTCTGCTTGAACACGAGCTTCCAGCTGGGACTTGTCGTTCTGGAGATCGTAGTAAGACGTGCACATGGAGATAGCGACGGCGCTCTTGGCAACTGTCGATCCGGAAGCGGAAGCAATCGATGAGTTGTTCAAATTATGCTGTTGATTCATCCGCCAATGGGTCCACTTGCCCCACATACCACACGCAGGGACAAAGTGCTCGGCCTCGTTTTTCGAGCAGAAAAAACACTTGCCAGGCTTGAATGACGGTAAAACTGAGACCATTTTCCGATCCAACGAGTCAGTATTTACGACGACGCCGTCTTGCTTGGATGCTGTACCATCCGTGGTCGAAGCCTCCATTGCTGCAGCTTCAGATGTCTTATAGTCGGTAGGTGTGGCTGATTTAATCTTCTCGTTGTCGACTTTACTCTTCGTTGGCTCCTTTTTAGGCTTGTCAGTTGCAGGTCCCTTTGAATGTGGTGTCGTCATAGATTTTCCAGTCTTCAATGGAGTTGTAGTCTCCGATGGAGCTCCCATTGACTCAATGGCAGTCTCTGTCGGTACGCGAGCAGATAAAATCTCAGGATCGAAGCCTGCTGTGTACTCGGACACGATGCGTACAAGCAGCGGGTATTCTCTCTCCATCCCAGCCTGGAGCTGTGGGTACAGGAAGCAAGACCGTGTCAAAAAGGACACCAGCTCTCTCCAAGCACACAAGAACCAGCCAAAGACGCCCATAGCGACCACCACGGAAGCCAAGAGCAGTCCATAACCCACACTGTGAGCCGAGAAAATAATCCACGAAGCCGGCATAGCCAGCGACATGACCCACAACACGAAAGCACCAACTACGGGCACCACTAGCAACCATCGCAGGCGTCTTGTCATAACTAATAAAAACACCGTCACGCCAGCGCAGTGACTAAACCAAGCCCATCCAGTGGCTTCGTCTACAAATTTTAGCGCGTCTGGAAGCGACGTCCAGCCACCCAACGTGAACGCTCCCCATAGTATCACAGCGACGATAAAAGACGCCGTACTGTTGCTATTAGCAGCCATGAGGCCTCGTAGGGACAACGTGTGCAGTAACAGCCAGCCGTCCTCTTCTCCTCCTTGCAACAGAGCTTCACCTCCCGATGAGGTACACGCCACTGCCAACGTGATACTCTCACGTCTTAGTCGCCGTCGCAATGCGAACCGTTCACGGGAATTGTACTCGGAATAGTACGCAATAGTGTTGAAGACCCACACCATCGGCACTAAAAAGAAGATACCCAGTACCCCCTCTGCTCTTCTGGGTGGCGGTCGAACCACAAAAGTGAGCACTGTGTACACCGCAGCTGTGGCCCAACTGCCGTAAAAAGAGGAGACGTAACCCAGTGGCGTAACCTTGGGGATCGTGTAGAAGGACAACCCGAAAGTCACGAACATGGCGTCCTAGAGCAAGCATATCAGTGGTGAGGATCTGAGTATCAAGTTTGAGAATCTCTAGTGCATGGAATACCCATTGACAGATACTTGATCGTTGCAGCGCATACAGAAGTAGAGTGGGGATACCGCTGATTATGGACACTAAAAGCATCGTCTGCTCCTTCGCCCGTACTAGATCCCATCGCACTAGCAGCCACATGGCAACTTGAAGCATCTACTCAAGATGTCGTTAGTATTGGGTTCTCATATTTTATATCACTTGTTTGGCACGTACTGGTTTGTATTCATATACTTACCGCTATCAAGACTCGCGTCGGCACGGTAACAAGCAGATTTTCCACAGGATAGTCGAGGCCATCAGCTAGTGCAAATAATATTTGAGAGGCCGCGGCTGGCAGCAGCGAGCGCAGCCACAGCGCCTTCTTGCGCGGGTGCAGGCCCGCCTGGTAGACCTTCTCCAGCGCCGGGTCTTCAAACTGCAGCGTGAACTGGTTGAGCCGCACCGTCGAGTGCAGCCGCTCGCCGTCGGCGGTCCCCATAATTGTCGGAAAACTCGAGTGACGAACTATTATCCAATCAGAATAAAGCTAAAAGTTACAATTGTCCGGTTAGATTTTAGCAAGGAGGCAAAAAATAATGCTAATCAGATTAACCTGTCTAAGATGAGCTCGTATATCGTGATATCCTGTTGTACTTGATAGAGAATTTGATTCTACCGAACTGGTAGACTTGCGTTTTGTAAAGTCCTTTCGTAATACTGTCTAATGTGAAACTTGATACAATGTGATGACAGAAAAAAAAAAACCAGTTAGAAGCGGTAAAAATCAAAGGTTTGACCTACTTGTAGTAGGATTCAGTGATATATATCGGCATGAAGCCACGTGCTTGTCCATTCTACGCCGATCAGGGCTGCCGAAGATAGCATATAATTTTTAATACATTATCATATTGATAATGCAATTAGTATTGAAAGGTCATCACTATATTTTAACATGTTTTACCCATATTATAGTATATTTTAGCCAAGTGATTCACCAGCTTGAAATTGGTATATTTTAACTAAGTGATTTCCCTACTTGCAACTGGTATACTTAATCCAAGTTATTGCTACCTAAATCGTTTGCAGCCAGTACTTTAAAAGAATGGTTGAGAATAGCCTTTGATCCTCATGACACCCCAGTATCTCACTTTCAAACTTATTCTGTAAGCTCTGAACCCAGCCACTTCCCTGTCGTCTCAGCTCCCATGAAGTTCACCAACAAGGACCTCTGCTCCCTGCTCTTCACCGACTTATCTCCGAGTCAATCTCGGTGCAACACCTGTAGCAAGGTGTACAAGAGCGGCAATGGCTACACCAATCAGGTGCATCATTTGCTCAAGCGCCACCCCGACTATCACGACTTGGCCGTGGCTGCATTTCGCAAGGGCAATCGGTTTGGTGTGACTCTTCCAGACCAGCGCACCAACGACATTTTTCGATGGATTGAGTGGTGCGTAATGGAGCGCATGCCCGTCAGTTTTTGCGAGCGCCCACTTGTTCGCAAAAATGTGAAGATGGACCCTATTTCTGCTGAGACGCTGCAAAAGTATCTAGACCTGGTGTATTTGCATGTGCGTGAAACTGTTGCTGCTACGCTGCCTGACGCATTTGGGCTAGCCTTAGATGGCTGGAGCCGCGCTGGACGCCATTTCATGACAATAATGGCTGTCTTTGATGATGCCTCTGTTGACCAGCCAAGCCAACGAAACCCCAATTATGATGAAAATATCCAGTGTCTTAGTCGGCGCTACGTGCTACTCGCTTTTTGCCCGCTGGGCGACGAAGAAGACTTGGGTGCACAGAGTCTTTTTGATCTCATTGCGGACACGCTTTCCACCTACAACAAGCCCTGGGAGAGCGTGCTCTTCATGATTGGTGATAATTGCT